CACCTCAGCATAAGGGTCACATTCATGTGACGGGACATGCCAATCCCTCCCCGAGTCCTTTGGAACGTAGATATCGGCCCACTTTACCATGTGGTATTTCTGCCTACCATCTGCCGCTTGTCAGAAGAAGTAACAGAGGTCTTTATCGAAAGAGTTGTGCATCCTTTTCGGCAATCATAATCATTGGGAGAATTTGATACTCGCCCTTTTCTAGAAAAAAGGTTGGCCAAATTTCACAAAATGTTATACCTTTACACTAACATATACACTATTTGCATGGCTTTGCAGATGCCAACAGTACGGTGTCACCAAAATCCATTTTGTGTGGTTGATGTCACATCAAAGCTTGTGCCACAACAATTTAAGAGCATGATAGCGCTGGCAAGTAAAACCGCATGCAGCAGTAAGAACCAGGCTCACGCAAGGGCAAAATCGTGCGACTGTCGAGACAGGTGGCAAGAAAGATTTCAGTAAAGCCTATGCAGCCATGTGGCAACATTATCAGGAATTCAGGACTGTGATCGGTACCCCCAAAATTTATTGATACTGGGGCTTCCAGTATCGACTACAGGCATATATATGCCTCCGGTACATCGTTTTTTCCCGACCTTTTCGAAGTATCTCAGCTCAACACCAAAGACTAAACTTTGTTGCTTGCTCTTTGTATATATGAGTTTTCGCCTATCTTGAAAAATGTAATCTACTAGATATGATCCTCATCATGGTGTCTGATTCAAGGACTGACTATAACTTCCAAGAGAAAGTAACAGTTTTGGAGTCTGGGCTCTGGGTACTGAAGATCAACTGAGACTGCTTGACCTCCTCTGGTTCTTCACTTGGTGGTGAGCTTCAGAACCGCGCACTTCATCGGGTCTCACTCTTGTCAGCTCCGGTTGAGACTCTTGAACACGAAGTAACCGACACTGCCGATTGTCAGGATTATCAACGGACAGATGGCCATGTCGATTCCTTCCTGGATCCGGTTCCTACTCATGGCATTTCCTTGGCGGGTCAAGACCAAATGCTCGTGAAGCAAGTTGGTGAGGTTGTCGAGCTGATGTATTACTTGGCGCTGACCCCTTGATAAGACCGTAATCTGCTCAGGAAATAAACCATCCAACCAAGTGAAATGCCAAGATTTGTACACAATAACGTGTAATATTAAAGAGCAAAAGTTTAAATAGCGCAACCAGCACTCGTGTATTTAAAGTATTTTACGTTGAACTTTCCATGAGTACCCAACCAAGAGGGTTCAAATTGTGCATACCAACAAAACTATATAAGTCAGGAATATAAATCCACTGACCCTTTGCTATACAGTGTGACATACACTCTAAAGCCTGATCCAACATTCATGTTACATCTACAAGTTGCTAGTTATACTATGTTACTATAATAGTTGAGTTTCTTCATGTCGATTTGGTAGAGAGGTTCATTTAGGTTGGGGTTCCAATTTATCAAATTGATTTGGGCCAACCAGCGGCACCCGTAACACTGTGATACTGTTATCAAAAGCTGAAGTCTCACTGATTCTCAATCCATTCCAAATCATGATCTGAATAAAATTAATAAAACACACTTTATTTCCACAAGTCAGGCATGGTTCTACATCTAGCTCCCAACAAGTTCTGAAAAAGTGTAGCTCCAAATAATGCTGCAACATATCCTAGACGAGTCTAAGATTGACAGAATCTATTTACCTAATTCAATTTCCAACTATTAGCAAGGTTTGAATTCCGACGCCAAATCTGGTCATTGCTAAACGGTAGCCAATTAGCACAATTCACAAATTTATTTCGAAGACAAGACTACTAGATTGTATATCGTCTATGGATTCAGAAGTACCTTGAGTGAACTTTCAATAGAGCTAAAAACTAAAGGTAAAACTAGGGAAAAGGCAGTCAGGAAAACAGGTGGTAACAGCAGTAAAATACCTCTTCCATCAATGGAGACTCTTTTGAAAGTTGGTTTGATGATGATGAATGGGGTATAAGGGTACCATTACCCAACTGAGAAACAAAGAGATTTGTAGGTGCAGAACCATTACGAGTATCACTTGGAGGAACTAAATTTTGCTGACTCGGTGAAGATTTTATCAGTGTAAATTTTGAGTTAAGATCTTCAACCCGACAGGTAAACTCATCCATCCTCTCATTCAGTGTCGATATCTGTTCTGACAGCTGGTTGATTGCACCCTATGCAAGAGAACAATTGTCAGAACAAGAATGATTTGAACATCAGCATTCACGTGTGTCAAAATATCATGACAGAACAAGTTCGAAATAGATGTGATTGTTATAGCACTACACAAGAATGAAATATGCTGGAAGGGTCACCTGATTAATCACAGGAGGTTCAGGAGTTCGCCGACTGCCAAACCTTTGGTTGCCTTCAGTCAGTTTATTCAATTTCACAATACTTTTATCTCCGTGTGTTGAATACGAGTGAGATAGCCCACTGGAAGGTATCCACAAGAGAATGTCAGCCTCATTCAGGTTCCAAGGTTTCAACAAATCAATCAATCACAGGAGATTAAACTAGGAACAGATGACATGAAGAAACCTTTTCATAAGTTCGTTTCTCCTATCAGCAGAGGCCCGGGAAAAAGCTTCTTTTGGACTTGAAACCAGCTCATCATCAATGCTGAGCTTTGTCCTCAAATCATCTGGTAATGCCTGAACATCATCTTTGTCACATACCACCGCCAAAACTAAGCAGTATAGCTAGCAGTAAGGTGGAAGATTTACTTTGTAAAGTACATACCATAACATCATTCATCAGTTTCTCCAGTTGAATTTGTTCAATATACGTGCGTGGGATATAAGAACCATCCAAACCTAACTGCTCTGCTACAAATTTGACATAAAGTCTGTCTCTACCTTGCACCTTAATAAGAGAGAAGCAAGGTAAGAAATTTCTTAACAAGTTGCAGGCTCAAAAATAATAATGAGTTTAGTAGTCAAAACATGTGCAAGTCGAATCATATAGACATAAATGCTCACCTGTATATACCTTCGGTTAAGTTGCTCCAGCCAGTCAATTTTAACAGTAGCCTTGCCATCAGAAAACACACGGCTGCTTCTCTTCAGTATAGCTGCTATAGTATATCCCAACGCCATCAAACCACCAAGAAGACGTACACTGACTTCAAAAGTAATCCTCGGTGATATGATAAAAGGATTATCAGTCACCCACTCCTTCAAATTATCAAAAAACACAAGCTAGTCAGCAAACAAGAACGCCTAACATAGTGCACATGGTGCAAGATATAACATTAACTAAAAAGCTAACATAGGGTAGTACCTCGGTTAACTACTGCGGTAGAGGATACTATAAGTTTGCAGAGAAGATCAAGTAAAATGCATGGAGTTAAGAATTTGCATATAAGAATATAAAAGGGAAATATAGTTAAGAATCGGCTGATTTTTCCTTTTCTTTTTAGACCTACTACACAAGTAGGCTTTGTCTTTATGAGCTGCAGGTGCTTAATTGTCAAATTTGAATATTCTAGCAAGGAGAAGATTCCTGAAGCCATCATATGGAATAAGGCAGCAACTAAATAAGTGAGAACTGATGACATGAAGACACCGAAATGTAATATTTCTAACAGAAAACCCAACAATACCCTTCACAACTATGTAGTACATATAGTCATGAAAGAGGGCATACCTCAAACATCAGATTATATTTCCCTTCCCTATTCCGCATTCTCAGATAAGATTGGCATGCTTCTGGATCTTCACCCGGTGGAAGTAAATAGATATCATAAGTTTCTTCATTGCTTTCTGTTTGATCTTCGCCAAGAGCAGCTTTGATTTGATCAGGTGTTAGAGACCGTGGTGACTGACAGTACACATCCAAGAGTCACGTCATCTTACTAAACCATAAGATCATGGATGACAAAAAGATTGAACATAATTGAGGAAGACTTACCTTCAGAATGTACATAGGATTCTGGAACCCTGAGAAAGGGTTGAACTTGTTGATAATTCTTATGTGCGCTGTCTTCAAATCCGGCTCAATGAAAGCCTTGTACATTGGATAAACCTGAAAATACCATCTTCCACCATGTTAAACCACACACATTGTCGGATAAAATACTATGTGTGCAAATATTAACCCGTAAACCGCTGATTTTTTCTATAATGACCTTTTACGGGAGCAAGAAAACACAAGGAAAGAGCAGATATAGATTCAAGTTCAAAAGGTCAAGCAACCGTTTCTGAGATCTGGTGAATTATTTCCTCAGGCTCCTGGCCAGCTCGTTGTATGTCCCTTAGGACCCTCTTCACCAGGTCAAAATGAACACCACCAGTGACAGAAACACGCAGATCCAGTATTGGCCGTAACTTATCACTCAGTGCATATATACCTTCAATAATAACAATCCTGGAGCTAGGGACATCAACTGTTCTGTTGGCCATAAGAAAATGATATAGTTAGATAGAATCAATCATCGTGAAATATGAGCCTAATTTTCTAGTACATAATGTAAAGATCGCAGTGATGACACAAGAATGTTTCTACCTGTATCCAGTCCGGCAACTCATCTTGAAATCATATATTGGAACCTGAACGGACCTTCCTTCCTTCAAACCATGAATATTTTCCAACAGTGTGTCATAATCTGTTAGACGTGGATCTGACCAAATTTTACAAATACATATATCAGTTACTCAAGTTAGCATTTAGCACCACTACTGACTAAATGAATACAGTCCCATGCAAAAATTACTAATATTTCTATTATATACTAAATCATATGCAAATATTACTGCAGAGACATGTGGTTCCAAGTAAGCACCATAAGATAATGCATAGATTATGTAAATTATAAGTATTTCTTATTACATGAATCTTCCTATTGTAACAGAAGTAGCCATCCAGATTAGTTGGGTTACCATCAAAATTGCCATCAACTATGCGACTTGCATCATTGTAGTTGTCCATTGATATGACAGCAACACTGGGCATGAAATTGAGGACCTTCTCAGTAAACACCGTCTTACCAGCCCCAGAGGGGCCAGCAACTCCCACAAATATTATCCCTTCATTGTTCTGCACCAGGAGCTGGATGGCACGGATCATGACAAAGAAGCCTTTCTCAAAAGACAGTGGCTCTGGAAAGGGGACGATCTCATAGCGGCTTGTGTCCTTCCTTTTCACCAGCTGGACCTGGTCACGCAGAAGGCCATTCCGCTTCCTTGGCGACTCGGACTGAGAATCACTACGCTCCATTCAAAAGAAGTCTTAACCTACAATGAAGAACCTTAAGTATCAAGAGTCAACAATGACGTGCTGAAAGAAATGTGGTGTACCAGAACATAAAGGAACTGTAACTGAAATAATCACATCACTGGAATTGCATAATCTCTCAACGTCCCTACAATAGTGCAACTGAAATCTATGAAGAGGCAGACAGGACACAGTTAACTAATGTACTGGTAATCCTTTGTGCATAGGCGAGGGAGGACACGAGCACAGTCAACAACAGACAGACAGTACATGGACCTTGCAACTGAACTCTATTACCGGACAGACAGGAGAGGGACCTCGCAACTACAGGGGATGGGCTTCAGGGCCCCGTGCAGGTTCCATCAAGGTACTGAAACCTTCCACGTGAATCGTCCACTGAATGACAAGGTACTCAACTCTTGTAGATGGGTAACTAACCTACTACCAACCAAACTCGCAAGTAATCCAGGCTACGAACTCGCGGCAGAACTGCAGGGCCGGGCCTTGACGTGGGGCATATGCGGGTTCAGTTCGAAAAACAATTTGAAGCGGCGTGGGAAGGAGCCGACGCTCCGGGAGGAGAACCAGGGCCGTCGCGAGAATCAGCCGCGCCGTCCTACGGGGAGGAGGAGAGCCGCGGCGCAATGGGGCGAGGCCGCGATTTTGGCGGCGAGGGGGAGGAGGAGGAGGAGGAGGCGGCGGGGAGCCCGGAGATGATCGAGAAAATGAGGAGAGCAGCTCACCAGAGGGGCGGCGGCGGGGGAGGAGGGCTCCGGTCGCCGGCGACCTGGGCGGCGAGGCGAGTCCGGGGCCCTGTTCTCCGTGTCAGGCGCCGCTGCTTGGCTTCGATCGAGTAGAGGAAGCTCGAGGAAGGAAGGGAGGGGTGTTTTTGCAACTGGATGGGAATTTCGGATCCGGGGCCTATTTTTTGGGGTAGAAAAAAGAGAAAAACGGGTAGACGATTCTTTCTAGGTTTTGGTGATTTGTTTCCACATCCAGAGGGGAATAATTTCCTGCCTTCTTTTGCTGCTTTGCTTATACTCCTTTAGGGCTCCGCGCAGACTAGTTTCTATATATACACTTGATATTTTTGAAGCGCTCAGATATGTTAGGCGTCCACCATCGAATGGAATTTTTTGCCATAATGACCAGATATCGCCTGTCCTCGTTGTACACCGTCACAGAAGTTACACACATGAATTAAATCGTCTTTAGGGTTTGTACTCGTTGTGCATCTTTGTAGTTGTACCACCGAGAGACCCAAAGCTAAACTCGTCGTACCACCTTAGATATATCAGGAAGAGCCAAGCTTCCTTAAAATGAAATAAAACTCTAATTGCGCACTGCGAGCCCACCTGAATGTTCTGAAAGACGATGGCGGTGACACATGGAGTGACGGTGAGGAGCGC